AATTACTTCTTAACCTATAATGCAAGTCACAGAAATTTCATTTGTCCTAAAATAACAATGAAATTTTCAAATATTTTTCTTATTTCTATTGTTATTTTAGGACAAATGAAATTTCTGTGACTTGCATTATAGGTTAAGAAGTAATTCGGATGCTTGAAAATTATGTCAAATGGAATTTCTGACAAATAAATTTTATGTTAAATGGTTATTCGAATAAATGAAAATTATGACAAATAAAATTTCTATAAATTAAAATTTCTGAAATATGACATTTCGTAGATTTAAAGGTTAAGTCTCATGGGAATTCGAGTAAATGGGTTTATGTCACTTGATAATTTGAGTAAATGAACATTATGATCAATAAAATTTCGAGAAATGAAATTTCTTAAATATGACATTTCGAAGATTTGAAGGTTATGTCACATGAGAATTTGAGTAAATGCGCTTTATGTCACTTGATAATTCGAGTAAATAAATATTATGACAAAATAAAATTTCGACAAATAAAATTTATGTAACATAATATTTCGAAGGTTTTAAAATTATGTCAAATGGCAATTCGGAGGATTAATAATTATGACAAATAATCATTCGGAAAAACAAAATGTATGTCAAAAAAATTTTCGACATATTAAAAATTATATTGAAAAACAATTCGACTATTTACACTGAGAAAAATGGAGTTTGAAAAACTGGGAGTCAATATTGAAAAAACAGGACTCAGTCCCCTACTTCGAAATTTTCACAATGAGGGAACGCAGGCGTGGAACCTGTCAAAATAAATGGCCGACGCGACGCGAAACGAGTGTTTCTTTTTATTCACTTCGTCAATTTTATATAAAAAAACAATAACCAATCATTAAAAAAAAGAAAAATATGTTAAATGCACTCTTTATATATTCATATTCATTAATTCACAAGTTTTATTCTTCCCACATCTTCGCGATAAATAACATGGAACAAATAAATGCGAAACTTCAGATTGATTAGAAAACGATTGATTTGACAAGCGACAATTTAAATATCGACGTAAAAAAATAATTAAATAAGAATTAGAATAAGTAAAAACATATGGACAGTTTTAAATACATCTAAAGTTATATGTGCCCCAATTTTGGAGCAAATTAACCCTTTGAGGGGCGGTGGGACGTATACGTCCTACCTACAAAAACCACAATATCTTTGACGAAGATGAATATTTTTTAGTCAAATTTAGTGCGTTCTCTTCAGGAAGAATAGGTCTTTAAAAATATGTAACCTAGATCATGTTAAAAAATTCCTATTGTTTAAAAAAATTCATAAATTATTGTTAAAAATCACGAACTTTTTAAACATTTTAAAATCGACTAAAAATTGTTACTTGGGGGTTCTTGGGGTCGCTGATTACGAATATAACATCAGCTTTTAAATATCAAAATGGCGGATCCAATATGGCAGACGATTTTTTAAAAATTGTTTAGTTTTACCTGAAACTTGTCACTCTGGGTTTCAGGGATCGCTGATGACGAATCTGATGTTAGCTTTTAAAAATTCAAAATGGCGGATCTAATATGGCGGAAGATTTTTTTAAATTGTCTAGTTTTACCTGAAACTTGTCACTCGGGGGTTTTTGGGATCGTTGATGACGAATCTAATGTTAGTTTTTAAATATTCGAAATTGCAGATCCAATATGACCGATGACAAATGGAAAAATTTATTTGATTGTCACAAAACTTGTTACTCGGTGTTGTTGCAGTCCCTGATTACCAATCTTTAGTCTATTTTTAATTTTAGAATGTGGATTAATAATTAGCGGAGAAATTTTTAAAATTAATAAACTGGAATATGTTTATTATAAAACTCCTGCTAATTTTAGACCAAAATTTCTAATTAGTCAGCAACTCAGTTTTTACAATTATCCAATTGATCTTAGAATTCTAAAAGGCATTAACTCTTGGAGTAAGTAGCAAGCAAATCTGAATAAATTTTGAAAATCTCATCAACCATATTGCAAACGCCATTTTGAATTTTAAAAAACTATCACCGAATTTGTAATCAGTGGCCGCGGTTCACCCGAGAACCAACTTTTAGGTCAATTGGATCAATTTCGTAAAAAGTCATCCGTCATATTAGATCCGCCATTTTTAATTTTTAAGAACTAATATCAGATTCATCATCAGCGATCCCTAAAACTCAAGAGTGACAAGTTTCAGGTAAAACTAAACAATTTTTAAAAAATGTCCGCCATATTGGATCCGCCATTTTGAATTTTTAAAAACTTACTTCAAATTCGGAATCAGCGACCCCAAAAATATTAAGACATGAGATGTAAAGAAAATCCGTCCATATGAATAATAATGTGCCCCTCAAAGGGTTAAATAAGAAACTTTGGAGAAATTAATTATTTGACCAGGGACACAAAAACTGAGGGACACTATTTACAAGATTATATCTTTTATAATTTTTACTTTTTATTTTTTTTAAGTTTGTTTATGGAATTCTTAAGATATTTTTAAATAGTTTATAACAGTAAAAAACGTGTTTTCCAAAAAAATCTTATTTAAACAGTTAAAATACTTTTAGAAAAAGTGAAAGTGACACTTGCAAAATCATGTTATTGTGAACTTTAATAAAGAAAAACATAGAAAAAATAAACAAAATAATTTATATCAATGGTTAAATCGCAATCCTTATTTTATTTTTAAAAACATGTAAGTATTAAAAAATAATTAGTTTTTATATTTAGGCTGTTTAAGTGAAAATAATGTGAGGGACATAAAGGTTAAAAGTTCCAGAGATTCGCCCATATCTACATGGCTATGCTTTCCACTCTCATGAAAATCTATTTAACGCTTTACGCAAAGTGCTTCCCCTTGCCACATTATAATTAGTCCTCACACTGAGAAAACTGGAGTATTGGACTAAACATTTGGAGGGACAAATCGTTCATATTTGAGAGTTAGCTATTGGATAACAATCTAAATGTTCAAATACACCATTGACAGATATTCGTGCCATTTCTCTTGGAGGTAAAATGAGTTTATAACAGAGGGACAAATTAACCATCTTGAGAAATCCCTTCCTTATCCGGCGCGAAATGAATAAATATGGCAACCTAACCCCTAAATTAAATACATAAAATGTCAGAAAAATAATTTCGCGCGCATTAGATCGTACACATTTTCCGCGCAACTTTTAACCCTCAGATATAATGGGAGAGAATATACAAGTAGATTTCCATTACCAATTCAAAATTTATTTTAGAAGGACTATTTAAGGATTGTCACCGGCAATATAAGGAAATGAGAGAAAATTATAAAAATTTGACAGTTTAATCTTTATATTATTTTAGAAACATATGATTTTTTTCATAATTTTTTACCACGTAGTTTTTTCTTAAAAAAATAAAATAAATTTGCAATTTAACATAGGCTCTTATGGGAGCTCAGATAAATATTAGAAAAAAAGTGTGAAGGAAATGAGAGAAAAATCTGTGGTTTTGTATATGGATAGACAATGTCAAAAAGTTTAAACTGGAAGATTTTAGAAAAAGTTTACCACAGATTTAATGAATAAATAATTATTAAAGTTTTAGTTTTCAGAACAGTAATAATTGTATAGGGTAGAAGCACCAGTTTTGGCCACTTTAACACCAGTTTTGGTCACTAGTTAATACTTCTCGTAATTATTTATATTATAGTTTATTTAAGTATTTTACTTAAAGAAATACTTAAAATCCTGTAGTACTATATTATTATAATAAGAAATATTAATTGTAGTAAATAATTAAATAAAAATTTTATAAAAATGGCCACAAACGGTACAGTGGCCACAAACGGTACTTCCCAGTAAAAAAAAACTAATTCAAATGAATTGAAACGAATTAACATTTTTGGTAGGCTCCAATTCGTATTTGTCACAAAGCGGGATTCACTCAAGCTCTTTGTATATTCAATTGAATTTAATTCAATATGTACCAATTTGTCCAAACGAATTCGCATTCGAAAGAAATGGCCAAGGAATGCATTGAATTTGTGCTAACGAATTGAAAAAAATTAAAGGCTCAAAACTTGTCCAGTGAATTGGTACGGATAGAAGGTTCGGAAGTTCAATACAGTTTCACGAATTCAGGAAAATTGCATCATGGCTCCAATTCGTATTTGTCACAAAGCGGGATTCACGAAAGCTCTTTGTGAATTCTTTTTAATTCATTTCAATTAGTTTTCGTTTACTGGGTTCTACCCTAAGTATCAAACACAAAAACACATGAAAATGTGGCAACATCGCAACAACACACAACCTCAAAAAAATACAAATTTGATCTGTACATTTGAAATTAATAATATTCCTTAAACATAAGTTAATAACTTTCATGTTTCTTTTGCATCATAATTATATTTTACATTTGTTTATTGTAATTTTCGTGTTCTCAACACTAAAAAATTTGAGGTTAACCTCTGACAATATACTATATTCCAGTCGTACCAACCATATGTCGACTATGTTGTGTAATGGTTTTTAGCACTTTTTCAAAAAATTAATTAAATACATTTTTTAATATTTTAGTCTTGAAAAAATTTTATCATTAATTTTTACATCTTTTTTGAATGTTTTTTTTTTTAAATAAAATAAATATATAGGATTTTTGATTAAAATTATGAAACTGAAATTATTTTTTGAGGTTGCAAACATGCAAGATTTTACATGGGAGTAATGGGAACAATCCCCTTGCCCCTCACCACAGCTGTGACAATCCTTAACTCTCTTCATAAGCAAAGGAAACATACACTTTTTGATCCTCCGAATTTGACACTCCAGTTTTCTCAGTGCAGTAAATAAAAAATATTTTAAAAAATATTTTCTCAAAAGCGCCCCCTACAGCGCAGCGCCCTGTGCGACCGCACAGGCGCGCACTACCCTAAAGCCGGCATTGTTTTCATGTGGACGTAAATATATGCCATCTAATCGATCTTTCTTTACTGAGGATAGGAACATGAATAAATTTTCTTATTTTTTTCAGTTTGGGATCTTAGACAACATACAACGAAACCAATTTTTTCCTTAAAAGAAATGAAAGAGTATGTAAGTTCAATGGTAACAAATAGAGATGAAAAATATTTGGTTTGTGCAAGTGGAGACGGATGCCTTACAACTTTAAACATTCCTGCAAAAAAACTTCATGTACAGGTAAATTATATTTCTTATTATGTGGTCTTAACACTGAAACATTTTTACTTTTTTTTGTTATTACATTAATAATATTTTACTTTAATTAAATAAAGAAAATAATTGAGGGGCTGGAAGCTATAATGTATTACGCGCCATGTTAAGTGAATGGCGCGTAACACATTATAGCATCCAGCCCCTCAATTGAACTACTTTATCAATTTCAATAACAGTTGTGCATGTGGAACACACGTGTGAACTTTATAACCAAAATGGTCTAGTTTTATGCGTAAACAATTTTATTAAAAAATGAAATTAGTACCTTTATATATTTCAACAAAATTTCCTCAATTCCATTTCAGTAGTAAATTTCTTACTTTGGTATCCATTATTTTAATTAATTACACTGGTTTACAGTGAAAATGTCAATCGAAGAAAACATTTTTTTTTTTAATAGTAGGTGCTTTTTGAGTACGAAAATTATAGTTTTAATTTTTTCCCCTCGTGCAGTTTTTCTGTAGCTTCAAATTTTGCATTTAAGAGGTTAAACGTCACTTAAACTTACCTGTAGAAAAATAAGCTTATCAAAATATAATAAATGAGGTATCATTGGAAAGGTTATTAAATTACCTTTCGATCCATAGGTCACAGAATAAAATTCAATGAAAATTGAGAAAGTTACAGTCGATTAAAGATTAAATTTCATGCCAATTTTGATGATTTTTTGACACTTAAGTAACTTCTACTATTTTTTTCTACATTAAACAAGAAAAAATGTTTTGATTTTAATTTTTTTATTGATAGACTATATGATTACAAAAATTTTAAGCCCTTGTGGAGCTCGATTGGGTTTAAAATGACAATTCTACACTAAATTTAGTGAACGAAACTACTTTCCTCATTTTTAGTATCCTATAAACATTTGCAGCAAAAATTCAAGTAATAAAATTTATTTAAGCCCTAAAGTGACTAACATCACTAATCAAGGGTTTATGATGTCGTAGATTTTAAATCGAATGATAGTTTTTCAAATTTCAAAATGGCGGATTCAATATGGCGGACAAATTTTTAAAAATCGATGAAATTCGTCTTAAATTCGTTACTCGGGGGTTTTCGGAGTCGCTGATTTTGAATCCGATGTCGGATTTCGAAAATTCAAAATGGTAGATTCATAATGGTGAACGAGTTTTATAAAAATCCATCGAATTCGCACCTATTGGATCCACAATTTTGAATTTTTGAAACCTGACATCCGATTCGTAATCAACGACTCCGAAAACCCCCGAGTAACGAATTTAAGACGAATTTCATCGATTTTTAAAAACTTGTCCGCCATATTAGATCCGCCATTTTGAAATTTAGAAAACTAACATTGGATTTAAAATCTACGACATCAGAAACCCTGGATTAGTGATGTTAGTCACTTTAGGGCTTAAATAAATTTTATTACTTAAATTTTTGCTGCAAATGTTTATGGGATACTAAAAATGAAGAAAGAAGTTTCGTTCACTAAATTTAGTGTAGAATTGTGTAACGTGGCGTTACGAATTCTCCCGCGTCTGCTGCGAATCGGGCGATTGAACCCGGAAAAGGCCGAAGGGCCTCGAGGGTGTCAATCGCCAAATTCGCGGACAGACGCGACACTTGTTGCCTAGACTCGTTGCGCATATCAGTGTCGGTATTTCTGTGTCAATCTGTTCTGTTCGCCTCCTTTTCTGTCGAGTGTTAAATTGTGACCAAACTCTACGGAAACTTAAGTAAGTCAAATAAATAGTATTTTATATTATTTCTTTGTTTCTCTTCTCCTTTCCCACCTTTTTCCCTTAATTATAATTGGAAATCCGGGCAACCAATTATAATTGTCATTTTTAATCCAATCAAGGTCCACAAGGGCTTAAAATTTTTGTAATCATTAGTCTATCAATAAAAAAATTAAAATCAAAACATTTTTTCCTGTTTAATGTACACCTAGAGAAATGATTTATTTGAATTAAATAAAATTCATTTCAAACAAATAAAAAAGGATATTTGTCACAGAACCAACTAAACTTTTATTTAGCTCAAATAATATTTTTTATTTGAATTAATATATTTCGTTTAAATATCCATTTTTATTTAAATGAAAAAAATTTTATATTTTCTTTAAATATATTTTATATTTAGAGCAAATAAAAAACACTTTTCATTTTAATAAATCCTGTAAGCATTCTAAAATATTAAAATTCATTTATAACCTTCAAATAAATTTAACAATCACAATCACTAATGGAACTTTTAATATTCATTAAAATAAATGTTTATTTTTATAAGAATATTTGTTAAATAAAGTCAGGTTTTTTTATTGTTAGTCATTTTACTTTACTTTTTCACTTCATATGTAAAAGTCTACTGTCACATTTTTCTCACAAAATCTCAAATAAGACACTAAAATGTAAATGAAATCACATACAAATCTGTTACTTTGTACTAATTAAAATTTTCACTTAAAAAGAAAAATTCTGTACTTAAATCAATTAAATTTGTTAACTATTCATGATGAATAAACCTCTTATAATTGTACGCGTTAAACTGTTAAAAGCTACAAATATACTATTTCATAAATTGCAAATATATTTCTTTATTTTAGATTAATTAGTGCATTTATTTGAAATAAATATTAGTTTATTTATTTTAAATAAAATATTTATTTGCAACAAATAAATTTTTCTTAAATATACACTTTTAGTTAAAATAAATAACTTTTTTCTCTGGGTGTAGAAAAAATAGTAGAAGTTACTTAAGTGTCAAAAAATCATCAAAATTGGCATGCAATTTGATCTTTAATCGACTGCAACTTTCTCAATTTTCATTGAATTTTATTCTGTGACCTATGGATCGAAAGGTAATTTAATAACCTTTCCAATGATACCTCATTTATTATATTTTGATAAGCTAATTTTCCTACAGGTAAGTTTAAGTGACGTTTAACCTCGAAAATGCAAAACTTGAAGCTACAGAAAAACTGCACGAGGGGAAAAAATTAAAACTATGATTTTCTTACTCAAAAAACACCTACTATTCGAAAAAAAATGTTTTATTCGATTGACAAAAAAAAGTTATTAATTTGTAAACCTGTGTTATAAATTTCGATTTGATATATGCAAACAATTTACTTGGTAATTGACAAGAATTTATTACTTTATTAACTAATGCAAAAATTGCTTTTTTTAAAAGGAAACAATTGCTTTGCGTGTATTGCTTTTGTACTTTGGCAAAAATTGCCTAATATGTAAAAAGCACATTTTGCCTATTATTTTTTGAGTGTTCAATAGGGTAGGCCGAAATTTTTTTTTAAATCATATTCTAATAGTAGAACTAACTTGTAACGACTGTATTCTAGAACTCTGTTACAATCTGCAATCAGGTTATGTAACAGATATGTAACAAGTTAGGAACAGATGTTCTATAACGCTGTGACCTCACTGTTATGGAATATACTAACTTATAGAACGCATTTGCTGGGTTGTTCTTTTCATGATAATTTAGCTTCCTCATTTAAATGGTTTTACGAATATTTGCTAAAATATGTGACGCGTCGCGAAGAAAAGCACCTAAGAAGCATATCGAAAATTTTACAGGAGGAGGAAAAAAGGAAAGAGAAAATCAACTCTTAGCACGAATTTCTGTTTTGTAAATCATTATTACGAAAGTATTTCAGATAAGTATTTGATAAAAATTAATTTTGAGTTCAGATAATTAAAAAGTAATCTTTAATTTATCTCAAACAATCATAATCCGAAAATCGATTTTTTGCTTCTTAGGTGCTTTTTTTCGCGACGCGTCACATATAATCTTTTTATGTTCCAATTGCTTCATTTTTTATGGTAAAAAGATTATTTTGAAGAGTTGAGATAAGTTTCTAAAAATTCAATATTTTAATTTTTAGTTCAATATACAAATAGTTATTAAAAATATAAATATTGGTAAAATGTGTATTTTATAGTTTATATATATTATCAATCGATTTGTTTTCGTGTCAGGAATATAATTTTGACAAGAGTTAATTTAAGGCGTACTTGCGTTTGCGAAGGCAAAAAATAGGCCCCACTTTAATGTTTTTTTCACAGTCATTTTATTTAAAATATTAAAAACGATTATTGCACCTTAAAGTACATTATAAAAACTAAAAAAAGAAAAAATTGTTTCGTTTTTTAACCGTTATTTACGGTTCGTAAAGTGCCCCAAAAATTGTCGATCTCAAATTTGTAAGAGTTTGCGGTGCCCCGCATAAAGACTCTCCTGACTGTCTAAAATCAAAAAAACAAAATTTATTCTTTAGTATGGGTGATTCTCCAAAAAACCTCATTTTGCATGTAATCAAGATTTTCTAAATAATTATAATCATTTGGGAAAATACCAAGTCATATTTCCCTATTTTATCACTTTTTCTAAATGTTCTGCAAGAAAAAGTTGTAAAATTTTATTGTTTAATACATTTTTAAAATATTTTACCACCTCAAAATCGATTTTCTAACCTGTCATCTAAGTGCTTTTCATTTTTTCAATAGGTAAAACAATTATTTAAAACATGAAAATTGGTACTTTATTAATTTTTTCTAAAAGTTATGATATTTAAGAATAATTTTCAAAAATATAAATAAAATATGTCGTGTAGTTTTTTTAAATATAGAAAATGAAATTTGTCATGTAGTACCGCGTCATTCCTCTCACTCGTTGAATATTATCCAATATTTTTGCTGTGGGTAGAGATATTGATTAATTATTGTGATCAATATTTAAATTAACATCTCTAATATTAATTTCTTAAGTTACTTTTTAAAAAATGTCATTATTTTGCGTTAAAAAAATTAAAATTGAGAAATAAGCAGAGATTCACAACCTAAAGCGTCATTCCTCTCACCCCTAATAAAAACAATATTAATATATATAAATTGATCGCAAATTTTTTTCACATAAAGTTATCCTTTATAAACATGATAGGGCATTCTAAGCTGGAGGAAAATTATTTGTCAATTAAATAAAATTAAAAAATGTTGAAATCGTCATTCCTCTCACCCGTCATTCCTCTCACTTTTTTGAATAAAAATTAAAAATTGATATGATTGTCGGTTGTTTACAAACTGCCAGTGAAAAGTGAACCTAAAATGTATGAAAAATAATTTTTGACAATTGTTTAAAGAGATTTTTGATAACTGTAAGTATTTCAAAATCTATAAAATTTATAGATAATATTAATAAATTATAATTTTTAAATAATTTTTTGTAAATAGAAAAATATATATAATAAAAAACGCCGGCGCCAAATTTTAACCTCTTAATTTTTTTGTAAATTTTAATTTAAAATATATACTTTAAAAGCTAAAAGTTAGCATGATCATGCTATAGAGGTGGTAGATTTTTGAAAGCTCAATATAATTGACTGCATTAATCCATAAATAATAATTTTTTTTCTTTTCTGTTTGTAACTCACAAAAAGGAGTATTTCGGGAGAATCACCCAGTATACATTAATTGTGGACGTATATGATGAAATTAAAAAAAAGTAAAAAAACGAAAATGCGGTACTTTTAAAGTCAAAAATTCAAAAGATCAAAATCTTGATTTCTTAAAAATTGACTTTAAAAGTACCGCATTTTCGTTTTTTTTTACTTTTTCTTGATTTCATCATATACGTCCACTAGGTATTAATGTATACTAAAGAACAAATTTTGTTTTTTTGATTTTAGACAGTCAGGAGAGGCTCTATGCGGGGCACCGCAAACTCTTACAAATTTGAGATCGCAATGTTTGGGGCCCTCTACAAATCGTAAATAACGGTTAAAAATAGAAAAAAAATTTTCTTTTTTTAGTTTTTATAATGTACTTTTAGGTGCAATAATCGTCTTTAATATTTTAAATAAAATGACTGTGAAAAAAACATTAAAGTGGGGCCTATTTTTTGCCTTTGCAAACGCAAGTACGCCTTAAATTTCTATATAGAATAAAGTTATTTCAAAAAATACAAAAAAATTTTTTTTTAAATTTAAAAAATATTGTAAAAAAAATTTTGTGGATATATTTGGAAATTCTTGTGTCAGATTTGAGGTATTTATGGCTGCAATAAGCCTACAAAATTTCAGGACAATCCGTCAAAACATGTCTGAGATAAGTTGTACACAATATTTGGTGACATACTCACATACACATCTGGACATCTTAATTGAGTTATATTTGTGAGTAGGTATTGGTTCCAAATATATATAAATATAAATTTTACAGACAGAAGAATATGACGAAGAATTGACGTGCCTTGGCCTTTTTAAATGCGAAACAAAAATTTTGAGCGCTACAAGTAAAGGAAAGTTGTATCTTTTTAACTGGAACGAATTTGGCCTTCATTCGGACGAAGTTCCAAGCTTAACAAAAAATGCCATCAATTGTATGATTCCCATAACAGAAAATGTGGCCATTACAGGAGGCGAAGATGGACGTCTAAGGTAAATTTCTATAACAATAATACAAATAAAAAATTATTACTGGTTCTTTTTTAATTTCAGTATAATTTGATATTTTCAGAGCAACAAGTCTTTTTCCAAATCGGCACCTAGGAGTTGTCGGGCAACACAATTTTCCTGTTGAAAGACTTGACATTAACAATGACGGAACGTTAATTGCTTCTTCATCTTATGACAGTGATGTAAAATTTTGGAATGTTGAATATTTTGAAGACTTAGATATTTCTTTGAAATTAAAAGGAGGAAAACAACGACAAATAAAACACAATCTTCCGAGTAGCAAAGCAACTAATGCGTCTGATTTTTTTGCCGATTTGTAAAATATAACTAGCTGCAGATGTTGCGTAACATTTCTACACTTTAACGTTTGTAAAAAGTTTGAATGATTGTTTTAAGAAATTTTAATTACTTTTAGTGTCTAGAAAATCATTCAAAATTTTGACAAAGTTTTTCTAAAAGACAAAAAATACGAATTTTGTAACATATTTTTTAAGTAAAAAATCTTAAAACAGATTGGAAAAATCAATCACATTAAATTATTGATTTTGTTTATTTCTTTAAAATTAGCACATCGTCCAATTTCGCGGTCGTCTTGGTTATTTCCGCTTTTACATTGAACATGTCTCTTTTAATTAAAATTTTATTATTTGACATAATTTTAACAAATTTATACACGCCATAATCATGTTTTAAGATTAAATTATCTATCTATTGTATGAATTTCTGTTAAAATTAAAACATTTTTTTTAATTCACGGGAGATAAGAGCAAAAAATGCTTTTACCGCATGCCCAGGAAGTTCCCACTTGCGCTGGCGTATGTCGGACTTAACGCACAAAATGCAAGGATAAAAATAAACCTTAGATGCCTGCTTTAGGCAGTCACGAATACCGACTAAAAAAACTTCTTGATCCCCTGGGTTTTGAACCTTTCATCCACCTACGGAACTACCTTACAGCTTCAGACTTCGCAGATAAATGGTCCCATTTAGTCACCGTGCCCTGACGAAATTGCATTTAAAATAAAAAAATATTGAACCGGATATAAGTAAGTTTTAAAAGTATAATTGAGAAGCTGGATGCTATAATGTTTTACGCGCCATGTTAAGTGAATGGCGCGTAACACATTATAGCATCCAGCCAATTATATGACAGCAATTTAAATCCAAAAGTATATGAATGTACATAGGTATTATATTACATATTATATTTCATTATAACCTCTAAAACGTCAGTACCGTGGTATGTCTCTTCATTAAAATATCAAGTTTTAATCAATAATTTTTAATTAAAAATCTTCAAATTGGAACTCAGCATTTTCTTTAACATGAATTACACATACATGTATGTGATTATTTTTTGTGTATAATACAATTTACAATACGTCTTTCATATTAATAAACAGTAAAATTCTTTTGTCGACAAATTTGTCCAATTTTACAAGATTTATTTACTTGCAGTAAAAGAATTTTAACCCAATTATAATGCTATTTAAAATTTTTAACATAAAATCTGATCTATTAGCAATAAATAACAGTTGAAGAAGTTATAAAATTATATGATTTTAATATTTAAAAAATATTTTTTATAGAAAAACGAATTGTACAAAAAAACCAGTCATTACCGTGTCACTACTAACCTATTAAAGTAGACACTATTTAAAGTTCAATAGTTCAACAATTTGATTTCAACGATCCTAAAAATTAAAACATATTTAAATGAATATTTAACAATAGTACTAAGGAGCCGTTCATAAACTACGTCACGCCTTAGAGAGGGATAGGGGGTAGAAATAATTTTTTGTGACGTTCTGTAGAAAAAATGGCGCCAAGCATGTAAACTTTGTGACGTGACGAAGTGAGGAAATTTATTTATTTATCAGAATATTTATAGTTATTTATTTGTTTATATACCTGTCTTTAGCCTACATAACTTGGTTATACAAGTGTCTCTTTACAATTTTTCTCTCATACAATATTTTCTATTTCTATACTTAATACTAAATTTTGCGCCTACAGAGCGACTTGAAAATTGGGAGTACTCGAATTTTGCCTGGACCACCCGTCTAATGGGTAAAAATACATTTTTTTCAACCTTAGATTTAAATTGTCGATAGTGTTTTCTAATATTTGTGTGAATAGATTTTGACAAAAGTTTAATTTGCAACGTATTGTAGTCAGAAGAACTTTTTCTTCTATTCAAAAGATTATTTTTAGCACGAATATCCCCAGATAGCAAAGTGCGCGCACGGTGCCAGACACAGTGCTAGCATGCGTGCGAAATAATTCGCACCTCGTGCTATCACTGGACCACACAGATACGTCCTCATATGAGAACAAGACTGCTTTCACTGTTCCCAAATTTACGCGTGTCTCTCGCGTTCATTCAATATAATATAAATATATGAATTATTAATAATTATAATAATAAATATTATTGATATTATTTCTATGCATATATGTGTATTTATATATTTAATAACAATAAGTTATTATTTTAATAACTATATTATTTTCATATCAATAATGAATTACTCACAATATAAATGTTATTTAAAATAGTAATTTAAAAAAAAAATTTTTGTAGAAAAAGATAATTTTTGTTAATTTGGTTCCTTTTTTTTAACAGATTTTTAATATTATTTACAAACATGTTCACAAGTTTTTATTCACAACACTTATAATTTATACAGATTAAATAATAATTTTATTATTTTATATAACGCTTAAAATGAAAAATATCCGCTCGCATGTGGGATCGAACTCAGGTCCCCCGCCCTGACGCATACCGGAAGTCTATAACGCAACGCATTTAAACCGCACGGCCACTGATGGCTGGATGAGAACTCTCCTAATCTACTATATCAGTGCCAGTGCCGTATATTTTCTGATTTTAAATGATATTTATTTTTATTAATAATATATTATTTAAATATTATTGATAATGAATATTTATTCAATATGATGCAGTTTCAGGAATATTTATTGCACAATTTAATTATCTATAATAATTTTTTAAATATTTATAAAAAAATTTGTTTTCTAAATTTATCTCTCTTTATATGTATGAGTGTAACAATTAATAATTAAATAAATAAATAAAAATATTAATATTTATTTATTATAATTGATAACTTAATGTTAATTATTTTTATTTTAAATAATAATATAAAGAATTTACTAAAAATATAGTACTAAATGATTTATAAATATTTACATTTAATATTATTTAATTAAGTGCGCACGGTAATAAATAAACTAAATATTGTGTAAAGATAATAATTTTTCAAGTTTGAATTAAGAAAATCTATTTTTGATTGATAACAAAAGATTCATGAAATTTTCTTAAAACTAATTTTAAAAGATTAGGTAAATTAATAGGGTTGTTACGATCCTAATTATTATAATTTCCCTAATGTTTCCCGATTTTATTTTAAAATTAATTAAAATAGGGACGGGGTAGTAAATAACAAGAAATTACTTTAGTTGAACAAATATATGTGTATTTTATGAAATAAGATAAAATTGATGAAAATAAGAGATGGACATAGGCTTTCCCTATATTAAAGAACCAGTAGAACCAGGTAGAATCAGGAGCCTACTTGCTTTAAGTTGGTTATTGTCACGTAAGTTCCAATTTCAAACCAGTAGATAAGTATTTTCAGCTGGTTTGAATTTAGAATGTCAAGTTCAAAATGAACTGGTCTCAGTTTGAACATTACAGTCAACCGGAAATTCCAAATAGGTTACATTGTACAACATGAACTTGTTTCAACTTGGATATCGATTCACAATTGGAAATCCAAGGTGGTTAAAATTGAACAGATAGTTTTGAAAAAAAATATTTGTGGAAAAAATAATAAAAAATTCTTATGACCATTAATAACTTTATATTCTTAGCACGCTCCAAACATACAAACATTTTAATTAAACTGGAAGAATTAAATTAAAACTTGAACCCTATGGGAATCGAACCCCGTACGTATGACCTATCTATCTAAACGCTTAACGACCGCGGCTACCGAATCGACGTGAGAAATATTTTTCGACCTGTCTATATAAACTGCAACTTTGAAAAACGTAAGTTTATGTAAAATATTATAATTTTTGTAAGTACCTATAAAAATACAAGCAGAAATTAAAATATTTATAGAGATTTGCAAATATATGCTATTATGTAAAAAATTTTAATTAAATATTTAATACATTTTTTCTCAAATGTCATTTGACCGCTTTGTAATTTTTTGCAAAAAATAATAACATTAAGCGAAATAAAAAACTGAAAATTCGTAAAAATTAAAATTCCCAAAATGACTATGCCAGACCAGCTCAACTGTGTTAAAAAAATTTCATTGATTTTCTAAAATGTTAAAACTTTTATGAATACCAAAATTTTTTTGGGGGGTTTCAAGAAGAGACTACTGAGTATACTTCCTATGAGTTTCATTGCAACAGGAGCGGTCGAACACATAAATAATTAAAATTGTTTATAAAATTGTTATTAAAAATAATGAATTTTTAAATTTACAATCATGCAAATATTTTCTATTAAAAGAGTGTAAAAAATGTTGTGTAAATAGTGTAAGTTTCATTAATTTATTGTAAACGGCTTTTGAGTTATTAATTTTTTTTAAATTTTGTAATATTTTGTTAATGCAAAAAATATAACAAAAATTTAAAATTTCAAAAAAACGGTTAAAAGTGTTTTATTGTTTTGTTGTGAACTACTAATTTTCATAAAATTTCAAAATTCACAAAATTACAAATAGCAACAGTAACAAATTCATAAAAATATCAATTCGAGAAATGCAAATTCGCAAAAATAAAATTAGCAAAACAACAATTAGCAGAAATAATGATACACAACAAAGCAGTTTCGCAAAAAATAACAATTAGCAAAAGTATATCTAACAATTTGTAAAACTTTCAATTGCGAAGAATGCAAGTTTGCAAAAATAACAAATTTGCAAAATAACAGTAAACTAAAATAAATATTTGTAAAAATGTAAATTTGCAATAATAATTCTTTGCAAAAATAACAATTGGCGAAAATGACAATTTATTTTCGCTAATTTTTTTTTGTTTTGTAATTTCTCAATGTTAATTTTAATGTAATTTTTGTCTTGTTCAACAGAACAAGTGGCAATTGTTTAAAGATTTAGATTAGATTTAGATTTTTTTATTTTAGTTCATGCTTTTTCTGTTATTTACTAAAAAAATTTTTTTTCTTTTTTACTTGTACTTATACAATATTTGACTCTTTATAATATTTAAAATTTGCATATGCAACTAAAAGACAATTTTATTTGACTTGACTAAGTTGCTTATATAAAAATATGTTTAATTGTTTGTATTGATAACAAGGTATTGAGTTCTATATTTTATATATGTAGATATACTAGTTTTTATTGAATTTAGAAAATGAAAGAATTGAATATAATTTGTATATATTATATTGATGTTTTGAGATAATAGGTATTGTAAATGAAAAATATAATTTGTTTTTTAAAAATAAATTCTGTAATTATTGAATTTTTAAGTAAATTTGATAATGTAAAGTTGTTTTCCCTACTAAAAATCCCTGTATAAGATCTTGTACAAGAAAATGCACACGTTCAGCAGCTGAACTTGTACAAGTTCTGGTAAGAACATGTACAATTTCTTGTACCAGGATTTGGAACAAGTTCTTGTATTAGAACTTGTACAAGAAAATAAACTTGTACAAGAAAATGTACAAGATTTTGTACAAGTTCAAGTACAAGTATTTGTACATGAACACGTTCATGTTCTTGCACAAGTATATTTATAAATAATTTTTTTTTAGAAAATTGGATCAAGTAAATTAATAAATAATTTTTTTTTTAAATTGGCATTTTAATAACTTATAAGCATTAAGACTCTCCACTTTAGGCAAGCCAAAAACTATTGCGCAGCTCTAAAAGCTTATAAAAACTACTGCGCAGCCTTTAATGTTTTTAATTTTTACAACTTAAAAATAATGTTTAGAGAAAATGTACAAGTACTGGCACAAGAACTTGTACAAGATCTTGTACAAGATCTTGTACAAAATCTTGTACGGGTTCATGTGCAAGTTTATTTTCTTGTACAAGTAGTCGTACATTTTCTTGTACAAGTTCTAATACAAGAACTTGTTCCAAATCCTGGTACAAGAAATTGTACATTTTCTAACCAGAACTTGTACAAGTTCAGCTGCTGAACGTGTGCATTTTCTTGTACAAGATCTTATACAGGGATTTTTAGTAGGTTTGAATGCAATTTTTAAGATTTTCTTGTTGTATAGATTTTAGTAATGTAGGATGCCATTGGTAATTGTTAGAATGTGTTATGATGTTTATTAGAGTTTGTGTATAGTAAATATATTGATATATAGGTTTTCTTAATTCTTTTATCTATAATTTTACGAATGATTCATAATTCTTTTTAAATTGACTTGGAAAATCATAAAATTAATTTGTATAATTTTTTATTGTTCCATTAATGCGAATTATGCTAATAATTTCATTAGAGAATTCTATCGGAAAAAATGTTTATATCTTTTTGTATCCAAAATGACATTGGATTCAAATAGTTTTTTTTAAAAATAATTTCTTGAAAATTTTGTTAATTTTCATCGGTATTATTGATGTTATCAAAAAGGTTTTCAATTTCTATTAAAGTTTTTTTGTAATTTAAATTCTTTACTTTTTTTTTGTTCTGTAATGTGATCATTTGAGCATTCATTTGTGCACTGTGTTTTTATTTCTTTAAACAAATTTATTAATAACCTTCTAAATTCTAATATACCATTTATATTTATATAGATGTTTTTTGTTAGTTGGAAAGATGATGTCTTTAACTGATTCAAAAAGAATATTGGGATTATGTTAAAAGGAAGGAAAGGGTTAGAGCCAAATAATTAATTGAGAACGAGTTATAATAAAATCTCTTTTATTTGAAATAGTAAACATGTTGAATAGTGATACAATAACGAACATCAATAGTCGATAATTTTAGGCAAGACCGACGGATCTGAGATCGAAATGAAACCAGAGGGGGATCTCAGAGGTCGGGTGCGATGGAAACAAGTGTTCAAGAAAAGAAATAACAATGATCATGCAGTCGAACTGATCTCATAATGGAGCTGCATGATCATAAACAAGTGAACAGAAAAGGTCTAACTAATTAAAACAAAGGAACAGTTATCAAAATTGGAACGAGCTCACCAAGTAGTTGGAAAAGAATGTTGGCTGATAATTCTCAGTAATTTGTGACGTTCCCATTTCCAGAATCCTTGGCAGCCATGAGGTGACTCCCTTTTGGAAGTAGCAGGCACTCTCTCAACTCAGGATCGAAATCGTAGACGTCCGGAATCCTTGGCAGCCATGAGGTGACTCCCTTTTGGAAGTAGCAGGCACTCTCTCAACTCAGGATCGAAATCGTAGACGTCCGGAATCCTTGGCAGCCATGAGGTGACTCCCTTGTGGAAGTAGCAGGCACTCTCTCAACTCAGGAGCGAAATCGTAGACGTCCGTATCAGTCCAAGCTCAGAGGCAAAACTAAACCATCTATCGTAGGTAACTCTTGAAACAGGCTCCGCCTATTGACTTGTAAAATGCTCACGGAAGGGGCTCTGTATAGGTGTTAAGGATGGGAAACGAACTAAATGCGATAACAATGTTAATGACATAAAACAAGAGAGGAGACATGACAGAATAAAAACCCTGTGATCCAGAGGTCACAAGGAGAAAGACACAAAGTGAGTAAGGAGGAAGAAAACAACAATGATTCATCGTTGAGTATATTTAGCAAGTTTTTAAACAGATTATTAGGTAGAAATATTTGTGTATATGATTGTGATGGTTTGAGAAGTATGGTATAAAATATAATATAAAAATAATAAACCTTATCCATGTATATCATGCTGGTTTCTTGGTTATCTATAAGATAATAATAATAATAATAATAATAATAATAATTTAATTATTTAATTTTTTTTTAATTTAAAATTTTTTTTTTAATTTATCAATTATAAAATTTTATGAGTTTCTTATGAAAAGAATTGTATACAACACCTTCCAATACATCCAGCGTTTAGTTTCGTTCATAAGCTACGTAGCTGCATTGTTTGAAAATGGTGTAAAAGGTTTATAAAAAAAACAATCATATATTTTTTACTGAAACTATTAATATTATTTGAAGTATGTTATACGTCAAATTGTAAAATTACATAATTATTTAAAAAATTTTATGAAATATTAACAAGAAATGGAATACAACTAACGTAAATTTTATCTTCTATTTCTATTAATATTAACTTTTCTTTGATTTCATGAATTGGTATAATAATAAGTTCTTCAGTTAATTTTGCACACATTAAGTGTGGAACATCGAATAAAACTCTTCGCTCCGCATCAATACACATTTTTTTAGCTTCGACGAGAATAGATGTTTCTGAATCGTAAATAAATTTGACTATTTTTACAATTGAATTATTTTTTAACTGAATAACTGTATCATTTGTTTTTTTGGTTCTAGTATATTCACTTCCACAATATATTGTACCTTTGTAAATACATTTTGCGTAAAAACGTCCATTTGAACTAGGTCCTAAGAGTAATACATCTTTGTCAGCGGTTCCTCTTTTCGTTGTTTGTACATATTGTTTAATAGAGAAAAGCGAGTCACAAAAGTTAGCTGCAGATTCAGTTTGTATTGTCTGCTTCCATAAAATTTTAAATGAATTCCTCTGCAGCATTCGGCGAGCAATTTGATCGTAAATTCCCTTTGGGCCAGTAACCTGCCTTTTTAAATAAAAGATACCATTTTCGTATGGAAATGCCGATGTTGCCCATAGGGGTCCTGACATTCTAACTGATTGTACTGGATGAATTAAAATGTGTACATTAAATGTCATATTACCAACCCCATATAATAATTCAAATTCACCAACAAATTTTAAAATATCATATTCACATTGCTGCAACTCTATAGAAGATATTGACTTTTTAAGAAGAATGAAAATGGATCTCACCAACAATGAAGTGTGTTAAATAATATTTATACTGGTTTTCTTATCAATTTGTGAATTAATATCAGGCAAAATGCATTCCAAACATGGAAGACTATAGAATAACAACCACGACTGCCATTCAGAAGCCTTCCATTTAGCTTTATCTAAAAAAGATCTAGGTAATCGATGAATTTCATGAGATGGTGTAATTTTAGAAATTATATCGTTAATTTTTTTTCTTTGGTCTTTAGTAAAGTGCCACGAAGAATTACAGTCAGTCCATATTTGAAACAGCTGTTTAACTACACCAATTAAAACTCCGTGCATATATTCACAGGGAAATCCCCACACCATATTAAATAGTATTAACGTCATTAAACTGCTTTCCCCTTTTACTCCATTAATCCAATTTCCTGACTTCATAGCTTTTCGTACGTCTGTATTATGACTCTCAACAGTTCTAATATCATCATCATCATCTTCTTTCAAAATTGGATACCGTACACAATTTTCTTTATGTATACCTTGTGCATAACACCAACTGCAACTACAATATCCATTGAATTGAACTCGATTTTGAATCACTGCTCGAGCAACAGAGTCCACACAGCATAGTAAAGGAACAACTTTTATTATCATATCTTGGTCATTCAAATCTGTGCAATGAAAGCCTTCATTCATTAAATGCAGTGATTGATCTACAAATTTGTGCATGAAATATTGCATTTGGGTTGGTAAAGGTTCTCGATTATCTATGCTCAGGGCACAAAGAAGGGGATATTTGTATCGAAGTTTAGGAGGAAGTTCATTAATGAAGCATTGTATGGGCCAAAAGGATTTCTTAGAGCTGTGAAAAATCGGAGCACCATCAGTATTAAAAGATAACGTTATTGTAAACGAAGAATTACTGTTCTTATTGAAAAAATTTATAACTTTCTTATACAATTGACCATCGTATACATCGCGTATTAAGTTTAAGCTATCATTAACATTTTCTCGAATTTTTTTACTATATTTTATTAATGATCTTTTGACATCTTTATTCTTCAACAATAACTTTAACTGATATTCTAAATCAACTGAGATAAAATAATTTGTTGATGACATGCTTAACTTAAAGTTTTGACCGCACTTCTTACACGTAGATGATGTATTTTTAAATTTTTTCTTCGAAGTGGATGGTAATAAACAAACAGCACAAGTTGTACAATAAAAATTGTACTTAGTAACATCATCAGGAGCATCACATAATTGAGAAAACATGTATTTTGAGAATCGCCAGTCTTTGAACTCGGGCACAGCTAAGACTTTTACAAATTCAATTAAAGTTATTCGAGCTGTGTCAGAAAGAGAAAAACGCAAACAGAATCCTAATATCATAAAAAGCACATCAGAAACACAAAGCGCAGCATTTGGAAACATAATTTCTTTTCCATAATTAAAAAGTTTGGAGAAGCCAATATCTGTTTCTTCATTACATTCAGTAGATTGTTCATTATCAGATACATCGTCGTTGTCAATATCAGAACTTTCCAAATTGATTGACTCATTATCGGAGAAAAAAAAGTCATTGGAATCAATAGACATTGATCGATTAAATTGTCTGTTGGTTTCTTCCTCGTCAATTTTTTCTATATTGCAGGTGTCCATGTCTTCTTGTTGTAGATTTTTGAAAGTACAGTCTTGAGATGTAAGAAATTCAACTGTTTCGTTATCTGATAAAATAATTTCTTCTTCTTCTAAACTGGTAATATCCATTTCATCAGGTTCATTTGAAGTAGAGGGCCCTATTTGAAAAACAATATGAAATACTTTACTTTATATTTGAGATCCACCATCTTCTCAAATTCATTCTTCTCAAATCATCTCAAACATGATAACAAAATAGTTCGACAGTATTTTTGCAATATCACCTTATTTAAACAATAAATTATTAAATTAAGATAATTACCATGTAACAGCAGGGGTGTACTTAATGATCTCTGACTCCATCTAACATGTGTTTGTGCACTGACTTCATGTGGATTGTAATTTGGTTCCAAATACTGCTTGTATCTTTTACGTTTATTTAATTTTCCGTTTTCGTCAGTCATTACTAAAATAAAAAATAGAATATTAATGAAAGTGTGACGTAATAACAATATAAAAGATTGAAAAGTTGTAGAGAAAGTTATTATTGAAAGTTATAGAGCTTGGAAATAGCTTTCAAATCGCTGGATTATAAATAATTTAAAATCAACCATAAATTATGTTTGAATTAAATATATATTATTTATTTAAATTAACACAAAATTAGGTTTCAATTAAATTTAAATATGCTTGACTGAATAGCAAAGATATTTTAAGTTTGATTTAAATAAGATTTATTTGAATCAAACAAATCGTTTTCTTATAGTCACCACCAAAAAAATTAGTGAAAATAACTAATTTGATAGTAAAAAATCAGTTCAAATAGTAGTATTTTACTTATAAAATAAATAATATTAATTATTTATTAATTAAATTCTTTTGTAGGTTATGTTAAAATAACTGAGGTTTTTTTATAACTAATTCAATTAGTGAAATTTTATTATTTTTGTAGTTATTTATTAACTAAAAATTAGTAATTATCTATTAATAAGTTATTTTTTTCACTAATTGATGAAGCAAAAAGTCAACCACGATTTTACTTATAATTAGATATTTTTAACAAATTCAGATTTAGATAGATGCTATAAATTCGATTTACTTTTTCTTATAAAAAGCTTGTTTTAAGTTTAAAATCGGATGACAAAAAATGAATCTTGTCGCTTTATATGTGGTCGCAAGGGGAGAATATGGGTCGTTCCAGAATGAGCTAAAACGCAACGAAGACGCGACGCGTCCCAATGCTAATCAAATGGAGACGCGTCGCGTCTTCGTTGCGTTTTGGCTCATTCTGGAACGACCCTATCAGTCGCAGGTAAAAGTGCACGGACCAGAGGCCTCCCAGGGCCGGATTTACACCTTCGGGGGCCCTAAGCATTAGGCAGGAATTACCAAAAAAGGGGCCCTCAGCACTAAGCCCTTATAAAATTTGAGATAAAAAATGTGACAACTTAAATAAGTGTTTAATATATACAGTGCTCAATAACTTTTGCCCACCCTACAGCGATTAAACACTTTACAAAAAGTTTTGTATTTTGTTTATTATTATAGATAAAAAGCTCAAAAAGGTCTCTTTTTAAAGCTCTTTTCCTAAGCTTTAACACTGTATAAAACAAAATTTAAAAAATTAATTTGTTAATGTTTAAAAAATATTATTGCAACATAAAATTTTTCAATTTTTTTTGGTTGTTTTAAAGCGATACAGTTGTTTAGAAAATCATTGCATATAAATCTAGAACATATGTATATTCAATTATGAACAAATGTCCAGATGTATGTGTGTGTGTGTATGGCACAAAAATTGTGTACAAATTATCTCAGTCAAATTTTGATGGATTGTCCTGACATTTTGCAGGTTTATCGCAGTCATTAATACCTAAAATCTGACACAAAAAATTTCAAAAATATCTACAAAAAATTTTTTTATACAATTTTTCTAAAATTCAGAAAAAATTTTTTTTGTATTTTTTAAAATAATTTTTTTATTTGTTAATATTTTCATGAATTATTCTCAAAATTACATTTCTGACAAGAAAACGAATCGATTGATGTATACAAAGTAAATATTTTATCAAAATTTATAAAATTAATAAATATTTTTCTTTTTCACAAAAAATTCAAATTTTGTATTTTTTTCATTTTTTTTTTCATATTAATATGTGACTGTCCACGACAAAACACGGCTTAGGTCCAAAAAATCAATTTGAGTTTTTTAAGGTAATCGTCAGATTTTATGTTGCTTTTTCAAATGCAAAAGTCAAAAGTTAAAAATATCAATTACTTTCGACAATATATCGTTTTAAAGATGGGTATGTGTTTTCTCGTGGACAGTCACATATTAATATTTTGAAATGATTATTCTATCATAAAAAAGAAGCAATTGGCAAATGAAAGTGTAAATTTCACCAAATATTTATATAACAACTTATAAATGATTTATATAATTTTATTTTTAACAAATCTTCTGGACGAACCCTTTTGTACATAGTTTTTCAAAAGTTTGCAAAAACGCAATTTTTATATATTGAGGAAGCTAAATGGTCATGAAATGAACAACTTGTTTTTCAATTGTTCATAACTCAAAAACTGTTCGTTTAAAAAAAATTTTTTCAAAGCATAAATTGTTCATTTTTTCATGTAGAATCAGAAAAAAAAATATACAACATTAAAAAAAAAAAATTTTTAACATATTTTTTGAAAAATAATTTTTTTGCTTTTTTATATTTTTAAGTATTAATCATTGAAGTTCGCAACTTTTACTCACCATAACAAACAAGTAAATTTATTGTCGTATTTATGTAATTAATTGCAACTAAGCAATTAGTTAAAAAACTTTTGATCAGTTTACAAACAAAAAACTTAATTATATTATCAAAAGTGATTTAAATGCCCGTGTGGAAAAGTGGTGTTGGCCCACGCCGGGGGCCCGCATGGATCGCCCACATCCATGAGGGGCCCATGTGGGTGATCCAGGGGAGGCCCCTCATGGAAACGACATGCTGATCGATGAGGGCGCCCGCATGGGCGATCCACGCGGGCGCCCTCGTCGGCCCCCGGCGTGGCCCTCGCGTTTGCCCTCGACTTTATTTTTCAAAATTAAGTTAATAAATTAATTATTTATTAATAATAAACAAGTTCAATTATTAATAAATAACATTGTTACTAAACGATTTTTACTTTTTTTAATTAAATCGTGACAAAAAAAAAAAAAAATTCTGACGCACGCGGGTACAGAACCTACGACCTACGGACTATCAGACAAACACTTTACCACTGTGCTAAGGGACCTACTTGAAATTTATTTCTCTATAGTAGGTGACTAGCTGACACTTGCTTTTGATGATTCAATAAAACATTATTGACACTAATACACCATAACAAAAAAACGTGTTTTTTATTGTTTAAAATCATTATAAACATTAATTTTTGTTATGTAGAAAAATATTTTTTGTTTGGACTTAGAAATTTTTGCTGGTAAATGATGTGGACGATCCATGCGGGCCCCTCGCGTGGTCCCTCAAGGATTTGCCCTCATGTGAGTTTTATATTTTTTAAAAAGTAACATTAAATATTTGTTACAAACGTGTTTTTCATTGTTTAAAATCATTATAAACATTAATTTTTTGTTGTAAAAAAAAATTTTTTGTTTGGACTTAGAAATTTTTGCTGGTAAATGATGTGGGCGATCCATGCGGGCCCCTCGTGTGGGCCCTCAAGGATTTTCCCTTATGTAAGTTCAATATTTTCAAAAAAATGTCAAAACATTTCTGTTAAAAACGTGTTTTTGATTGTTTATAATTATTATAAACTAATTTTTGTTATGTAAAAAAATATTTTTTGTTAGGACTTAGAAATTTTTGCTATTCAATGATGTGGGTGATCCATGCGGGCCCCTCGCGTGGGCCCTCAAGGATTTGCCCTCATGTGAGTTCGATATTTTCAAAAAAGTGTAAACAAATTTTTGTTAAAAATGCGTTTTTCATTGTTTAAAATGATTGTACACGGAAAAAATAAGTTCAGCAGATTTTACGAAACTAATTTCGCACTAGCGGATATTTAAGATTCCTTGACGAAGTTTTTCAAAAACCCAGAAACTTTCACTACTTTAAGCAGAACAATTTTCGAGAAACTGCAACCAGTGTTGTAATTTATAAAACAAGCTTGAATGTAGAAATGTTTCGTATTTTCTGGTGAACATTTTATCAGAAAATGGTAAAAATGTTTCGTGCAATCTAAAAACGCGTGGTTTGAGTTTTCACTTCGCTGTCTATCGTGAATCCTCGAACACAGAGTTTCGTAAAATTCTATACGGGGTGTACCAAAAGTCGCGTTATAAATAGATATGTTGAAGCTTGTCTCGTCGCGTCGGTATTAACTTGTCTGCTGTATATAGAGATAATATGGAAGGAAAAAGAGAACTGCTTTACCTGCCGGTAACATTTGGATAATTGTTTTCTTTTACGTATTTCACGTTTCATTGTTCCAAATTCGTAACATTTTTTATGTGATTTTGTAATCCAAACTTTTAATTATTATTAATTTTTTTTAATTTACATTCCAATAAATTTCATAGTTTATCATAATATTTACCGATGACAATAAATATATATATATATATATATATATATATATATATATATATATATATATATATATATATATATATATATATATATATATATATATATACACATATATATTAATTTCTCAAAATTTTAATTAATTCTAATTTTTATTAGTTTTAACTGTTATTACTTCAAATTTTAGACAATTTAATATTTAAATTTTTTGAGTTTGAATTTAATTTTGAAAATTTTTTGCAATTTATTTATAATTTAAAATTAAGAATAAAATTATTTTTTAAAAATTGAAAAATTTTATAGAGATTTTATAACCAATTATAATTAAAAAATGTTATTTTAAAAACAAAAAATATTTTGTATAACTTTTAAAAAAATGATTTTTTAAAAAATTAATATTCAGTATATTGACATTTCTCACAAGCGCAGTTTTAATCTCCTCAGTTAGTATATAAAGAAACTCAATTCTTTCATCTACAAGTGCGAGTTATATTGTATGTGCGTTGCGTCAGAATTCGTTTATATGTATGCGTATTTCCGTTAAGTTAGTGTCAGAATAAAATAAGCCAATCCAAGCGAACCATTGCGTTGTAGAGTGCAGTCACATGTGTCGAACCAATCATCTATCTCCTATAGAAGTCGAGAAAAAATGGTCTTGAGAGCTCATTGGTACATTAAGAAATTCTTTTTTCTGCTTTATTCGTTTTTTTCTCCGTGAATATTTTTTTCCGTGGCGCATGCGCTTCAGGCTAAACATTTTACAAAACTCTTGAATTAGAACGTCCAACCGATCATTTGTGAATTCCATAGAATTTTTTTTGAGTTTTCGAGAAACGCAGTCATCATATATTACTATTGATTCTGTTTTATCTTATACTAAACTCCTCTCCGTATCCGCTATTCCAAAATTAGTTTCGTAAAATGTACTAAATTAATTTTTTCCGTGTAAACATTAATTTTTTGTTGTAAAAAAATATTCGCTGTTTGGACTTAGAAATTTTTGCTAGTCAATGATGTGGGCGATCCATGAGGGCCCCTCGTGTGGGCCCTCAAGGATTTGCCCCCATGTGAGTTCAATATTTTCGAAAAAATGTAAATAATTTTATGTGAAATATGTGTTTTTCATTGTTTATAATCATTCTAAACATTAATTTTGAAGTAATAAAAAATTATTTGAGGTTTGGACTTAGAAATTTTTGCAAGTCAATGATGTGGGCAATCCATGCGGGCCCTCGGCGTGGCCCTCATGGATTTGCCCACATGGATCAGCCCTCGTCGGCCCCCGCCGGGGGCCCTCACGTCGTGTGGACTTCATGGGGGCTTTTTCCACAAGAGTGATTACTGAGTTAAAATTATTGAAAATAATTACATGAATACGACAATAAATTTATTTGTTTGTTGTGGTAAGTAAAAGTTGCAAATTTCTATGATTAAAACTTAAAAATATAAGAAATTCAAAATTTTTTTTTTAAAAAAATATGTTAAAAAAATTTTGTATATTTTTTTCTGATTCTACATAAAAAAATGAACAATTTATGTTCTTAAAAAATTTTTTTTAAACGAACCGTTTTTGAGTTATCAACAATTGAAAAAAATGGCTAATTATTTAAACAAATGATCATATTATTCTTAAAAATTATCAAAAATAAATTTTAAAAAATGCGTTTTAAAGGTGAGAAAACTAGCTTTAAAATGATATAAGTGTGATTTACATGCGATGATTTTCTAAATAACTGTATCGCTTTAAAAAAACCAAAAAAATAAAAAATTTTATGTTGCAATAACCTTTTTTTAAATATTAACAAATTATTTTTTTTAATTTTTGTTTTATACAGTATTAAAGCTCAGGAAAAGAGCTTTAAAAAGAGACCTTTTTTGAGCTTTTTATCTTTAATAATAAACAATATATAAAACTTTCTGTAAAGTGTTAAACGCTACGCTGTAGGGTGGGCAAAAGTTATTGAGCGGCACTGTATATGTATTTCAATTTCGTTATAAAATAATATATTTATAAACATTCTTTTACTTTTATGAGAGAAATTTAATTTTTATATAATAAATTTAAAGAACATTTTTTTACATTTTCTTTAGCACCACTGCAAAATTTAAAAATTACATTTTTTTTAATTTAAAAAAAATATAATCTTGGAAAAATTTGGGGGCCCTCGGCAAGCCGGGGCCCTAAGCAACTGCTTATTTTGCTTATACATAAATCCGGCCCTGAGGCCTCCACTGCTATACCTGACAAGTATATCCCTTGAGTCAGTATTCCTGAAAGGAGCCACCCAAAACCTTTTAATTTTCTTTTACATTGTAATGTGGCTATTTCAACAGTATTTTATGTACAGAAATAATAATACCAAAGGATTTTGAAACAAAATTTTGTTAATGTTATTAACTATTGGAAATTTTGAACGTATTTGTGTTTCATTAAAAATTTAAATTCTCAAAAACTTATTAATTGATTTTAATGTTTTAAGTCACATTTTATTTGTCTAGAAATGAAGAATAATTGATATTAATTTCAGATAAAAATGTTTAATTTTAGTACAAAAAGTAATTGTTTATTAATAAACAAATTATTAATATATAGTGTGCAAAATAATTCATTGAGAAAAAAACGCCACGAAGCCTTACGGGTAGATTACCGTTCTCATTGGTGAAAAGTGCACGAAGTTAAAAAAATTCTTTTTTTCATATACGGAAATATTTTTGGAATTGCGGTTTTTTTATTTGAATAGTACATAAATATATATAAACTTTTTACATATTTATATTAAAAAAAAATTAAAAATGGCGGCTGTAGCTTAACTACATACGGCGCCGTATATTTTATGCGCCGTACGTTCCACTGCCTCGCCAGGTTATCCGAATAAAAAATTATTCCTATAACCTGGCGAGGCTGTGGAACGTACGGCGCAAAAAAAATACGGCGCGCATAGTCTTCTATAAGTTAAACTTCAGCCGCCATTTTAAAATTTTTTTAATATAAATATGTAAAAAGTTTATATAATTATATTTAAGTAAAAAAAACGCAATTCGAAAAATAGTTCTGTATATGAAAAAAAATTCCCCAACTTCATGCTTTTTTCACCATTGAGAACAATAACCTCCCCTCAGCCGCGTAGGAACGAATTATTTTCCGGGGGGGGCAAACTACATATATAGAGATATATTTAACAATGTAATATGTATATAACTGGGGGGCAACTGCCCTCCTTGCCCCCCGGTTCCTACGCCACTGCCTCCCCTTAAATTGTTTAAACTTAAGCATTTGCTTCATCTATCAAAATTATTTATACCAGTACCAATAACTTTTCCTGAAGAATAATTTTCATTTGGAATTATGCAATATTAAAAATGTTTAAGTCCAATCAGTAATCAATAAGGGACAGAGAAGCGCCCTTCACCGCATTATAAATACTTAAGTTTAAACAATTTAAGATTTCGTGACATTCTTCTTCTTAACGGAATATTTTTCACTAATATTTAAAGAATCCCAAGTAGCACGTAACGTTATTGATATGATACATGTAATATTAGTAACATTACAATGTCACATGTAATGTTAGTAACATTACTGTGATATTACAGTAACGTTACGTACTACTTGGGAACATTATAGTAATTTTTTCGACTTGAATTATAGCCCAGAACACTATTAATTATTAATTTTTTATTAATAAGAAATTTCTTTTTGCACTGAATTAAATATTTTTATCTGAAAATAATGTCAATTGAGCGGATGGGAAAAAGAACTCGCTGAGCGCGTGACCGAAAGGGATAGTTCCAGTCAGGTAGCAGTGTGTAGCCCAGAGGCGCTCACTGCTACCTGACTGATATTATCCCTTGCAACCGCGCGCTCAGTTAGTTCTTCTTCAAAATCCTTTTTGCGTCCGTATCTCAAATATCATCCAAAATCTGAATCCATCAAATCGAAATTTTCTTAGGTATATAAAGTACTATTAAATTAACCATATTACGACGAAAAAGAAAATTAAAAGAAAAGGTTTTGAGTAGTTCCTTTCAGAAATTCTTACTCCTTTGCAACCGCGCGTAGAAATATTATTTCTTACATAAGGTCATTAAAAAAAAAAGTATTTATTTATTGCATTTATAGTTGATAAGTATATCCATAAATTTACTTACACTTACTACACTGCATTAAACACAGTTTTATTAGAAACTTGATATTGTAAATTTTTTTTTTTAAAGTTTTGAAATGTATATAGATATCGCTAAAACGGAACTTACTTACTTCACTTTTCTTGTGTAAATTTAATCTTCTTTTATATATTTACTACACTGTAAAAAGAAGTGTGTTACTGGAATGCACTTCAAGTGCATAAATGATGTCCCAGATCTGAACACACTTTGAAGTGCATTACCCTCATGCGTTTTGGTCACAAATGTAATGTATTTTACTGTTTTATGCACTTTAAAGTGCATAAAAATTTGAAGGCTAAATGCATTAAAACACACTTCTTTTTACACCCAGTAAAAAAAGAAGTATTGAGTGGAGCGTTTAGGAATTGAGTGAAGCTCTGAGCCAATACGGATTCGAGTAAAAACCGTATTGGGACGTCTGACTCAATCTTTTTTTCATCCGCCGAATACGGTCTTATTTTAGTATTAAAATTATAATCATAAGACCAGAGTTCACATTATAAATTGAAAGCACAATTGTCCTGGAATGTAAAAATGCCGATTTCGATAAGAAGCAGTGAATATTTGTTAAAAATTGGTAAAAGCAAAGTTTGATAAGCGCGACTGAATTTACCATGTGAATAAATGAAGTGGTAAGTTTAAATGGACGAAATGGACTGAAAGAAATCTACTGTTACCGACAGAAATTTACATTACCGACGGCATTTTTACATTCCAGGACAATTGTGCTTTCAATTTATAATGTGTACTCTGGTCATGTGATTTTAATTATAATGCTAAAATAAGACAGTATTCGGCGGATGAAAAAAAGATTGAGTCAAACGTCCCAATACGGTTTTTACTCGAATCCGTATTGGCTCAGAGCTTCACTCAATTCCTAAACGCTCCACTCAATACTTCTTTTTTTACTGGGCAGTGTAAACATATAAATATTCTGCACACAAATTTTAATCACTTCACAATATTTGAAATGCACAAATATTTTACAAAATTATGAAAAACACTACTGCTATGTCGACACGAAAGTCAAACATCGAATGAATTACTTTTCGCATTATTCTTGCACTAGACCTGAAGAAGAAGGTAGAGAGACAGATAATTAAAAACTAATTAGTACCTAGCATTAAAATATACTTAAATTTTAATTATAATGGTGTACATTAATGGCATTAATATATTTTCTTACTTTGAGAAATTTAAACAAATCACTTTTCTACTACTATACAATAATTATAATTTTAAAATAGGAAATTTGTAATAATTTATTTCTGTAAATATTTTGTTTATATTTAAAACATTTTGTTTCTAATTAAAGTTTATTATAATTATATTAAAGATTTAGTCTATTCTATTATGTAGAAAAGTGTTTAAGTGTTAAAGTGTTTCTTTGTTAACCCCTTAACTGTGAATGACGTGTATACACGTCATGAAAAAAACTGGCCCAAACAGTGGATGACGTGTATACACGTCATGGCCCAAAAAAGAAAACATCTTAACGTATATTCGCAAAAATTCTTACTTGGAGGGTTTTTGGGGTCGCTGATCACGATTCTGAAGTCATATTTTCAAAATAAATAATTTTTCATACAAAATGGTCGCCAAAAATTTTAAAAAATTTCAAAAGTGAACAAATTCTTTTAAAAATTTTTACCATTTAAACTTTAAAAAACTAATAACAGATTCGTAATCAGCAGCCCCAAAAACCCCCGAATAACGAATTTTTAGCGTATCCAAGGATTTTTTCTAAATCGTGAACGCTATTTTGGATCCGATATTTTGAATTTTAAAAAACTAATGTCAGATTCGTAATCAGCGACCACGAAAACCCCCGAATACCGTGTGTCATGAAAATTTATTCACAAGAAGGTCTTACACATTTTGGGACCATTTTGTTATATTTTAGCTACACACTGAAGGGGTTAATAAATATTTTTTTTAAATCCTAGTAACAGTAACAGGTCGATATGTTTATCTCTATTCGAAAAATGGATTTATCAGCTTTTGAAAACTTGCTTTTCATACACTAAGGGGCCGTCCATAAACCACGTGGACACATTTGGGGGGGTGAATCAAAAGTCCACGTTTGTCCATGAAGGGGAGGGGGGGGTGTTAAAGCAAATGTCAACGTGGACATATAATCAAAGATATTTCCAAAAAAGATATCTTAAGCTTAATCAGAATGATCATAAGTTTCAGTTAATCAATTTCCCTGACAATTTACTGATATTAAAATTAATTTCCCTGACAAAATTCTTTTTACAGGAAAATATGAATGTTTACGGAAAATGAGTAACATTTATGATTTTAATTATTTTTTAAAATGACAATTATAACCCTTCCTGAATTCAATTATTTTCTACAATTTCCACCCAGTAAAAAAAAGTATTGGAAGAGAGCGAATAGTATTGTCGGTGAGTTTCTGCCAATACGGTTTTCACGCGAAAACATATTGGCAGAAACTCACCGCCAATACTATTCGCTCTCTTCCAATACTTTTTTTTACTGGGCAATTAAACCTTCGTCTTTGAATCAATTAATTTAAATAATTTTCCGAAAGTTCTTCTAAAATTCTGTTATATTTTTAAATTATTTTTGAATTTGATTGATAAATTTTAATTAAAAATTTTTAAAATGATTGTTTCCTCTAAAATGTTAAAAATAATTTTAAAATGTTATTTTTTTGTATATATTTGAATTTTTGAAAATATGTAATTGAGAATATTGAATTTTAAAAAATTAGAAGCTAATTTTCATTAATTTTCATTTTTAAATTTACCTTTAAAGATTTTTTATTCTACAAAAATTGTAACGAAAGACTTAAAATAAATTAATTATTTTCAATTAAATTTTACAAAATTTCAACTATTCAAAAAGATTTGTTTATACAGGGTGGCCATTTTTTTGTAAAAAAAAATTCACGGTCATTTCCCGGTCATAAATTATTTTTCCCGGTCATATAGTAGGTATTCAAATTTAAAAAAATTCAAATTTTAAATCCTTTAAATTTGAATAATTTTTAAGAATTGCTACTGTAACTTATTAACAATTATTTTCAAAATTTCAATTCAATTATATTCTAGAAATAACTAAAATATTTCTAAAATCCACTTGTTTACAAGACAATTTCATGAAATTTTGAATAATTTAAAAATTTTTCAATTAAATATTAGGTACATATTTAAAAACATAACTAATTTGAAAAAAATGTGAATAAAAATATTTTTAAAAACTGACTTATTCAGAATTTTTAATTAAAATCTTTTAAAATTCAACTTTTCTAAAACTTAAATTTGAAATTTTTTAAAATTCAATCTATAATAATTATTAATTTAACATTCTAAAATACAGAAAAGTTTGCTTATCAATAATTGCAAAAAAAACTAATTGATATTAATGCAAAATACGATTTTTTAAAAATTTATTTTCTAAAAAAAGAAATTTTATTTATTTTTATATACATTATTTATTATTCTAAAATTAATTTTTATAAATTTCGTATCACGTTTGTTCTAATTAGTTCAAATTTTTAATAATTCTTATTTGTTTTGTTATAATATTATTGCAAAAAAATTTTTAAATTGATTTATTTTTCACTATTCTATACGATGTGAAATTTTTTCTCATTGAAATTTTTTTGACAAGTTTAATTAAAATTATATTTTGTTTAATTATTGTTAGAAATAGAAAGAATTTAAAATTAAATTTAATATTTTCTTTTTCTAAATCTGTTACGTTGGACAGCAAAATTCATAATTTTCTTATAAATTCTAGAAATTGAATATTTTTATAGTACTTTTTATAAAATTCTCTGACAAAATATAAATAGATTTTATAGAAGATCGTTCAATCTTTTTTAATGAAATATAGTTAATACCTAAGTCTTGAAATAAATATTTTTATTTTTTCTCACAAAATAATGTGTGTCTTTAAAAAAAATCCAAAATCCCGGTCAAGTTCAAAATTCATTGTCATTTCCCGGTTTCCCGGTCCAGCGGCCACCCTGATTATAGTTATTTTTCACATTATAAAAATCAAAATAACTTGTACTTTTTTTTAACTAAAAATTGTAGTATTTTGTCGCAATTATTTTAAATGAGTCGAAAAAAGTCACAATTTTCTTAATTTCCCCGACAAAATTTTTTCCTGACATTTCCCTTACTTTACTGACATTCTTGCTTTGAAATATGTTCAAAAATAATCTTTTTTATTTTTTAACATACAGGAGTAAAAAAAACTTATTTTTTTAATTTGCAATATCCACGTGGACAATTGTATAGAGGGGAGGGGGTTTGACAAATGTCCACGACTGTCCACAACGGGGGGCGGGGGGGTAAAAAATTGGTGAAAAATTGTCCACGTGGTTTATGGACGGCCCCAAATCAGATAAAGAAAACGCTTTGAATTTTTCAAATAATATTCGACGTGATACTCCTTCAACACATGAAGCTGCCAACAATTTTCAAAAAACTAATAAGGTAATATACATTTATTTCAGTAGTAAATTGTTCTATTAAATTATCTTTTTTGGTTCATTTTCACAGCTTAGCTATGCCTGTCTGCGGGCTAGAAGGGTGCATGGATGTGAGCAAGAAAAATTTCAATTTGAGTTCTCTATCTCGCTCACACTCATTCGACCATCTTATATATATATATATATATATATATATATATATATATATATATATATATATATATATATAACACTGTAATGTATGACACTATAATATATGACTCTATTTTTTGCAGGAATGTCAAAATAATGATATAAACAAACTGAAACGTATATTGAAGGAAAAAGAGATAGAATTGAAAAAATGTAAAAATGAAATAAAAAAAATAAAGCAACAACTAAAGGATGAGATCAAGAAGACTAGAGACAGGAGGTAAAACTTCGGTAGTGGGGGTATGGCAATGCTGAGTCGCTCAGCTGATGTATGGTCAGGCGTTTACTTTTAAAAAAGTTTTCGCCGCAATAGACCACATGGACTTCTGCGCATCTAAACACGTAAACACGGGAAAATATATTCTACACAAATACAATATGAAATATAAGTCTTTATTTTTACAAACATCTTTTAGTTATTAAAAAAAAAGTTTTAAAAACAAAAAAATGTGTAAACTGTATCCCTATTGAAAATCCTATGTGAAATCCCTTGTAAAATCCCAAGTGGATTCCCATGTAGGGATATTCAATAAGGCGGATAATGTTTTTCACATGGGATTTGGTTTAGGATTTGACATGGGAAAATCATTATAAATAAATGATACTGTTTTTCACTTGGGGATTGACTTGGGAAAATAATTATAAATAAATGATACTGTTTTTCACATGGGATTCGGTTTAGGATTTGACTGGGAAAAACATGTGGGATTTGATATGGTTTTATGCATAGATGAACTGTTCAAATTCCCCATGTCTATTCCTAACTAAAATCCTGTCTCAATTTCCCATATGGTTTGACATGGGAAACCACATGGTAAACCACGTGGTTTCCTTCATGGAAGTAGGGTTTTACATGGTTTTTGACATAGGATCCCATGTGGTTTCCCATATGGGGATTTTCAATAGGGTAGCATGAAGTGCATTAAAAGTTAACAAAAAGTAATAGTCATATAGTGATGTGTTTATATTTCTTCTTGTTACAACTTTTCACACAGCACGTTTTCGGAATTTTTAACTATTTGCATAACACTTAATTTAATAATCACTTACATTATTTCTATATATCCGTTATGACACACATTGTGTCTCGATTGCACTTTAAAGTTAACCTCAAATTAAAATCATATCATACACATATGTAAAACATATATGGTATACAAGAATTTGAATGTGTGAGTGATGTGCAGAAGCACCGCGCCGGCGACTTTTCGAAACGAAAAACGCCTGGTTAATGAAAGGCTCTTGACTCATCCCCACTACCCAAGTTTCACCTCCTGTCTCTAGCCTTCTTGGATGAGATTAATCAGAAAAATGATTTACTTATATTAAATATGGAACTGCAAAGAACGGTCATAGGACAATTTTCAAATTTAAATTGTGAATATCTCCACATATAACTATTATAATTACTTTATTATTAAAAATTATACTCAATTTTTCAAATTTTATTAATTAAAAAAATTTTACAGCAAATCTAAAAGAACTGACGTCTGAGGTTGTAGAAGCAGCAAATATGACTGGAAAGGAATGCGCGGACAGAATTGGTTCCATTAAAGAGAATGAGGTAAAAATAATCAAATTTATCTGAATTGTTTTATTTACTTACAATAATTTAATTATGTGTATATATTTATACAGATACATCTTGGTCGAAACGTGTGGATAAAAAAAATGGTCTATGACGCAATCAAGGGGAAGTCCCGGATAACACCAGCTCTATTTGTTAAGGAAATGGCATTGGCTGTCTTTGGAGCAAACACACTTTTAGTTAGCACAATAACTGGCAATACTTCAAACCGATCAAAAAGTAAAAAGATCACTAATGCAGAACAGGAAATTTTGAAATTAGATCCAGTTAAATTGATGGCTATTAGAGGTTCGTACTAATAAATTCCAAGATGCTTACTTAATCATCTTGATAACAAGGGAATTAAAGTAAATGTAGCATTATAAAAATTTGCCAATGATTGATTTTCAAGGTATTAAAATTAAAATATTTTTAGATATAACGTTTCACTGGATGACAATAGAATTAAAGAAAGATGCATCTGCAGCAGAAATGGAAAGATTGAAAGTTAGTAAATATATTTCACATAAAATAAGTGAATTAAAACGAACTATTAACAAAACCCAAGGATCTGTTGATATTGCAGGTGTGTATATTTTGCTTATTTTCATTATTAAATTAAATCGAGTAATGTGTATATGCATTTACATTTTATTTAATATTTACATCAAATGTGTTTCAAATATAAAAATGTGAAAATTGTGTTTCAGATAATGATACAGCTGAAAAAGAAGTAAACGGAAACAATGTTACTAATACCGATATAGGAACTGATGTGATAACTGATGAGATAACCAGCGAGATAACTGATGAGATAACCAACGAGATAACTGAGACAGATGATAATTACAGTTATATTGACAGCGACGATGAATATCAAAGTAGTAGTGAAGCTGACAGAAACATTGAAAATGGCAGTGATAAAGATAATGAAGATAACAACAGCGATATCCCAGTAAGAAACGAAAAATTGAAAAGTATTAAAAAGATTCTATTCTTTTGAATGCCATTTCTGTCCAATACTTTTCTATACAGTGAGAGCAATATAAATAGTAACGATATCAATCCTCTTGAATACCCAGTAAGAAAGCAAAGATTAAGAAGCATTAAAAAAATTCTATCCTTTTGAATACCATTTCTGCCCTATGCTTCTGAATTCCGCGACAGTAGTATAATAATATAATACTAATATTGTTGACATATAGAATGCAGAAACGCGGTTCCAATGAAAAATTGAAAAGTGATATAATGACAGGCTGTAATAATTTCGGATGGGATTGGAAAGCATTCTGAAAAAAAGTTTGTCTTTGTTAAAAATTACAAAAAGAATTGAATAGCATTTATTTTTAGACGAAACGTGGTCCTATCATGGTATAGAAAAGTATTGGACAGAAATGGCATTCAAAAGTATTGGATAATTTCTACTACACCATACAGAGTTTGAATTATTTCAATCCTTTTCAATTTTTCGTTTCTTACTGGGATCTTCAGTGTCGCTGACGATAATGATTTGATCAGCAGAAACGAATTTAACATTAATTAAAAATAACGTCGATCCCCTTTTTATTGATCCTGTAAATATGGACAGCAATATTTTGTAATATGCAGTTAGTTTTATAAAACATTTATTATAAAAATGGTTACCCTTCGCCAATCTAGAGTAAATCACAAGTATTATTATCTATTTATTAATCATTATAATTTACACGAGACACGATTAAACATTTACAAATATATTTTGTACTAATTTTTAAGGCTAATATTATAATTTTACTAGGAAATCAACTAAAATTGGAAAAACTGAATTTTTTATAATGGACTAAAGAAAGTTAATAAATAACATTGTTGATGCTTTTAAATAAATACAAAAATAATAAATATTTTAAATAAACTTATTGATTGTACCTAAACATAATTGTAAAATCATTATAATATATGTATGTATAAAAAAATTTTTTAGTCAAACATAATTATTGAGTGTGATAAAATTTCTGATATTCTGTAATAAAAATTCTATTAGAGATTCAAACTGGACTTTAAAAAATATATATATTAATTTTTGACTAGCAAATTTATATTTGTATATAAATATATTCAATTTGATAAACTTGTTATAAAAATATTGGATAAAACTTTCTAGATATTACTTCAAATTACTAATTTTGAAAAGATTAAATGGCATAATAATTTCTTTCTATTGAATTAAATGAATAATAAGTATTTATTTTAATAGACTTTGTATTCAATACAACCCGTGTAGAAATTGCCATGTTATGGCCTACACAATGATCAAAAGATCTGGCCCCGATTTGGGCCATGGTTAAATTTCTACACGGAAATTGATAGAATCGTATTCAATATGCCCAAATTTGCGGATTCAAACACGGATTGGGAAGTATAGAAACTTCTCTCTTCCAAATCCAATCAAATACAAGTATTCAATTTGATAGAATTTTATTCCAAAATAATTGATTGAATCTTATTAAATAATCCCACATTTGCGGATTCAAACACGGATTGGGAAGTATAGAAACTTCTCTCTTCCAAATCCAATCAAATACAAGTATTCAATTTGATAGACTTTCTTTCCAAAACAATTGATTGAATCGTATTCAATATGCCCACATTTGCGGATTCAAAAAACGGATAGTAAAGTATAGAAAATTCTTTCTATCAAATCCAATCAAATACAAGTATTCATTTTGATAGGCTTTCTATCCAATACAATTGATAGAATATTATTCAATATGACCAAATCTGCGGATTCAGAAAACGGATTGCAAAGTATAGACATTTTTTTCTATCAAATTCTATCAAATTTTTTAAGCAGGGATAACCTAACAATTTTCACATGTTGCTTATATATTCAAACACGAATAAAAATGCAATAATTTTTAAATAATATACTTACTATTAAATAAATATTATCATTTTATAACAGCAACAAGTATTAAATACTACATATAATATATAATAATGTTTTACAGGACAAAGAAATATCAAATATAGAGAGAGAGAGAAATATATGTGTGTGTGAGTTATATGTGCGTATACACAGGTAAGATTGTGTTGTATAAAGTCCGCCTGAAAATCAGTCGGAGTTCGAGCGATTCTTATAAGAAGAATCTAATACTTTTATAGCACGTTCTCTTTGTATTTATAATAAAGATTTCGTGCAAAATTAGCTACTGTCTCTTAGGCTTATTGCATTGAAAGTATTTTTACAATAAGTATATGAATCGATGCTAAAAATATAAGAGAAACGTTAAGCAATTTAAGTAATGTGCTCTTTCGAGTAATATTAGCAGCAGATTTCTCTCCGTGTACCTTTAAAAAATATATAGACAAAACCCTCTAAAATTTTCAAGTATGTGGCGCCTGATCAAATTTCAAATTCGAGGAACACATAAACAAATCTGTCAACATGATAGAGATGTAATGAATGAAATCAGTATTAAAGCGATTTTCAACTGGAATAGTATTTTTCTTTTTTGATAGGAGAATTATTTAACTTTAAATTCTCGTAAATATTATTGTATTTAGCATTAAAAATTTATAATTGTTATTAAAAAAATTATTTTTTTATTGTTAAAATTAAAAATTATTATAAAAAATTAGAGTTACTACCCAGTAAGAAACGAAAAATTGAAAAGTATTAAAAAGATTCTATTCTTTTGAATGCCATTTCTGTCCAATACTTTTCTATCCAGTGAGAGCAATATAAATAGTAACGATATCAATCCTCTTGAATACCCAGTAAGAAAGCTAACAAAATTCTATCCTTTTGAATACCATTTCTGCCCTATGCTTCTGAATTCCGCAACAGTAGTATAATAATATAATACTAATATTGTTGACATATAGAATGTTCAATTACTTTCAAATAACTGCACTCATGAATTTATTTGATATTTTAAAAAGGAATAATTATTAAATTATCAGTTAAGAGGGTTAAAAGTGTTGAAAGGTCTCTGAAATTTTTAGGTTATGATTTATTGTCTAACAGAATAACGGCCCTGACTCGTTTAAATGACGTTAAATTGGTAAACAATCAATTTTTCAGCAAGTTTTTCTTTGAACACAAACACTTTTTACAAAATCTGCCACTGTATGTATCTTATAAATTACAAAAATCCAGAAGATTGCTTGAATGCATGCAGAAACGCGGTTCCAATGAAAAATTGAAAAGTGATATAATGACAGGCTGTAATAATTTCGGATGGGATTGGAAAGCATTCAGAAAAAAATTTTGTCTTTGTTAAAAATTACAAAAAGAATTGAATAGCATTCATTTTTAGACGAAACGTGGTCCTATCATGGTATAGGAAAGTATTGGACAGAAATGGCATTCAAAAGTATTGGATAATTTCTACTACACCATACAGAGTTTGAATTATTTCAATCCTTTTCAATTTTTCGTTTCTTACTGGGTATTAAAATTAAAAAATGGAAAGAGCAAAAGTGACTCCCCAGCAAACATTGTTACATAACAGTTATGTAACAGTTATGTCACAGAATATCACACGTGATATAACATGATATGAACATGTGACACGAAATGTCGTAACATGAGGGTCACAGTTACATAATTGTTACAAGAAGGGTGATATAAGAATTATGTTGCAGCGTGATATTTAATTATTATATCACAGTTATGTAAATATGTTACATAATTGGAAGAATTTGATACATAATTGTTATATCACACTTATATCACGTTGTGACTTATTATTATATCACAGTTATGTAAATATGTTACATAATTGTTATATCACACTTATATCACGTTGTGACTTATTATTATATCACAATTATGAGATTCTGTTACATAATTTGATGAGCTTGTTATATAATTGTAACATCACTATTATGACCTACGTGAAAATTATTGTTATTATTTTTATTCAATAGATAATAACAAATGCCATTTGACATGGTAATATCCAAAAATAATTTTAGTAAAAAACTGATTTATTAATTAGTACATTTTTTAAACTTGATTTTTTTACAGATCTTTAATATTATTTATAAACATGTTCACAAGTTTATTTTATTCACATTTCACAACACTTATATACAGATTAAATAGTAATTTTATTATTTTACATAACGCTTAGAATGAAAAATATCCACTCGCATGTGGGATCGAACTCACGTCCCCCCGCCCTTGACGACCCGACGCAACGCATTTAAACCGCACGGCCACTGAAGGCTGGATGAGAATTCTCCTAATCTACTATATCAACTGCAGTGCCGTATATTCTGTTACTTACTGTTATGTAACTATTACGTAACAAAGACAAACTTGTGATTTTTTTATTTGTAATATACGATTAACGTGTTAATAAAAATATCTACCACACATTAGTCACAGTGTTCAGTAACAATTCTGTAACATTTACGTAACAATGTTACACACATATAAGTAACAATTTTGTAGCATTTACATAACAATGTCACACACATGTGAGTAACAAAAGAAACGATTACAATTATACTAATCGGGATTACAAATTTTTATTTTATTCTGAAAATTCTATTTTTCTTCACATAAAATTTGAGAGTTATAAACTTTAAATTAATTTTAAATAAATTTGTTCAAATAAAAATTTTTCTTTATTAATTTCTGACAACTTTTTACAAAAAAAATTAAGATATTTTTTAAATTATTAATAGACAAACTTTTCAGAGTACGTTAAAAAATTTTAAATAAAATTAAAAGTGAGTGATATATTAAATATCGTAAAATGTTCCAAAAGTCGGCTTCTTCACCCCACTTTACTTTTACGTACTTCTTTAAAAGTTTTGGACATTAATAATTATAATAAATAATACTGATAATAATTATTAATAATAATTTATTGTAAATTAATAAACTTAAACAGTTAAACTAGATTTACAGTGAGTTCTCGCGAGTCGTTCAACTCACGAGTCGTTCAAACTCGCCAGTCGTTTAACAGCTGATCAGTGTCCGATTCACGAGTCGTTCAATTTCTAGCATGCGCGCGCCGGTGCTCAGTGCTGTGTAATTTAAACGGACCAAAGTCATTGAATATTGTGTCTTTCGGGGCGATAAA